TTGTGGTGCGCACCATATGTTTGAGCGACCTCACTCAACACCATTGGAGAAATGCGCAGAGTACTGAGCCTGAAATTCAAGTATAAGCCTATAGGGGAAAAGATGACGTCGTCCAGCAAGGCGGCCAGACAGATGTGGCAGAAATGACCGAAACTCTCTCTGGAAAATGAGGTATTATGGTAACATGAAGACGTCGAATCTCCCAAGCGTCTAGTGGTTCTCGGCTCATCATTTCTAACAGTTCTTCATGAGTTGCACGAGTAACTCTGCTACATGGGTAAAAAGAAGATGCTTGATGCCTCCAGCAAAAGGTGCTGGAGGCCTTCGCTCATCCTTGATGTAATAGACTTCTGATGAACCTAAGCCACCTGCAGTGGTTTTGAAAGGCCTCACCTCACAGCCATCGCACATCTGCAACCCATTCTATCGGTATTTTAGGGGAAAGAGTAGGTATAGATATCATGAGTCCTCTACCGCCCACCAAAAGAGGAAATGTTATATTTTAGTAACGGTAGACTACTTCACGAAAGTAGCTGAGGCAGAATACAAGAAGTCACAAGTCGCTGAAACAGTTGCTTCATTTTTTTTAATAGATGTATTTGCCAGCATGGAGTGCCCGAATCTTTTATAGTGATCAAGGCTTTAACTTCTAGAGCCCACTCTTCGCTGAACCATGTAAGACCTGCCAGACCTCAAGCACACGCACGACACCTACACCTCTGCAAGGCAACAGGCAGGTGGAAAGAACGAATTGCACTCTGATCGAGCTACTGAAGGTCTTTAGTGAATACGCACAACCAGATGACTGGGATCAGAGCCTAGGACGTGTCCTCTCGCCATAACAAAAAATTTAACAGCGTATGCAAACATTTACAACTATTTTATGCCAGACAGAAGAAATATTACTATCGGTACAGCTGGATGAAAGTCTACCGAAAAGGAAACCTAGTGAAAATTTGCAGACTGATTCCTCCACATGGATTCCGCTACAAGTTTCATCACACGTATCGGGTGGTAAAGGTGCTCTCATCTACAAACTACGTCGTCTGCAACGAACAGCTGCGTACTCAGCCAGTAATACTTATGCTGTTTAGATGTTTTTTTCCAGAGAGGAGACAGTATATGGATCGAACTTCGTGCTTGAGGAGCAGTCAGCGTCCCGCAAACCGAAGAATGGTTCCATGTTTAACCCCCATCCTTGAACTTGTGCCCACTCTCCCCATTTACTTTACCCAATAAACATGACAAAAGTAAATCAGCCCGGGTGTTCTAAGTGTATGAGGGTCAGGGAAGCGGGTATCCACGATCCTAGTCCTACAATGCATTGGTACGAAACTGGCTCACTGGAATAATGTACTATAAAGTTGCTGACGTGAATAGAAATCATGTGAGTATATAGAAGAAAAGACCAAAGAGTCTCCTTTATTTGTGGACACTAATGATATTTGTTGTAAAGCAAAGGGAAAATGCAATAAAGCCATCGTCATGATTTGCCAGATAAATGTTGGAAATTATTGGGTACTAAATATTATATGCACTGGTTTGACACCGTGTTTAATTTTGTGATGAATTGTGCTGGGATTTTAATCACATGGGCAGCGTTTCAAATGTGGTATGGGCTTCTGGCCTTACTTGTGGGATTCCACTTAATCTGTATTAAAGTTACATATGGTGGTCCACAGTACTTTGGCTTGTTGCTACTTTAGAAGAGCCTTAGATCACTTAGCCAATCATTGTACTTTAAAAACAGGACTTTTAAGCTCATCTTTTCAACAGTAAATTTAGGTGTAAAAATGGCGTTGAATTTTCTGCTGTCAATGGAGTAGACACACTACTTTTAACGTCGGCGCAGCCATATTGAAAAATGTCATTTTATAACCGTTTAAGAGAATTCACAATATTTTTGCACGATTCGAATCTAGCAGTACCTTCGTCGATTTGAAAAGATGTCTGGTAAACATCAACCACCCAATCAGCTTAGGGGACGCCTATAAAGTGGTGTGCAGTGGCAAGACATGCGTAGAATGTGTAACTGCGACTTATTCTTATGTAAGGACAATTCTGAAGAGTCCCATATGGGCTATTCCAACATTGGCTGATCTATATAGACCAAGTCGAAGGTGGATTTATTAATGCTTCTTGTCAGAGTAAAGGGCACGCAACCCCTTTAAATAAATTTGCCAATAGAATAACAGCTCACCATTTGTCCCTCCAAACTACGGCAGTCATTGTTTGCTATCATTTGAATAGGCTCATGTACATTCTTGAGTCAATGTGATCTTAGCCCATATTACTACGTACTCTTCGTTTTATTGATTTCATCATCCTTATCAGCCGCGGTATAATCTGATTTTTCACATCGAGCTTACGTCTGATTACTTATGCTGTAGGGTGAAAAAAAAGGAACGATGAATCTTGTTCATTTATCGACTATTGCTACTACTGGGGCTCTTTTTCTTCGTGTCCTCGTTCGTTACGGTACCCACCTTTTCCCTTGGGAGGAGCGAAGTATTGAACGAATTTTCGCTCACCTTCTTGAGACCCTAGACGCCCTTATCTTTATCCACAAGGACTGCTACATCTCCAGGATGAAACCCTTGCTTCCAGAACAATTCCTCAAACGCTACCTCAATAACACTTCTTTTCAAGATCCCCTGATCTTCGAGGGACAGTTTAACCTAGACTGCGATTCCAGCGACGCTGGTCTCCGAGCCGAAGTCAATTCGCCTCACAAGCTCCCATGTGGAGTCCATCAGTTGAATGTTGACGCCTTCTTTCCTGTCACTTCTGATATCCTGAAAGGTGATCTATTTGAACTCCTTCAGGATGAAATCCGTGCCTTCTTGAAGGCCTATCATGAAACTCTGGAGTCGATTTTGGTAAAAGAGAAAGCGGTTCCACGCAGTCTGACGGCGTATTATTTCAGGCATGAGGATCGTTTGATCCGAGTCTTTTATCCAGCCGTCTGTAAGGAGGAAGTAAAGTTGCGGGAGGAAATTCATAAGGGTACGTTGTTAATTTGTGAATAACCATGATTAGTTAGCTTCGCTGCCACTGATTAGTGAATTAGTATTGATAAATCACTTTAAGTAAAGTAAGCGCATTGCTGCGCCATTCGAACTGAACTATATTTGGTCTCTATTGGAGACATCTAAACAGTGTCCACCCTGTTTTATCTCCCAATCATTGGAAGAGGTAGTGGTGACAAACCATCCGCTCCTGCAGAACAGTATACGTTATCATCGTGGGATGAAAATGACGCGCAACAAATTGCGTTGAGGGATAGTGTTGCTGCATGCACTGCGTGTGGTAAGGGTACCAATTTGTCTCCCCCGTGAAGCTTCCATTAAAAACCACGATTTCCCTCTAGACGAAATCTCTTGCTTGACACCATCTGTCTCTATAATGCAGGTCACGCTCTACAAACTTCGGGTAATTAAGGTGAAAAATTATTGAGTCCATGCAGCTAACAGTTTAGACTTAAAAACCCCTGTTTGGATATTTCTAGGTACTACCTCATAGTTCCCATATTCGGATAATGATACTATTCCGGCCAATGGAATGAAGGCAGTAATGGCAATGAAACATGGTCCTGTTTAAGTGCTTTCGGTGACTATTTCTGTTTGGCAAGCATTTGCTCTCATAAATCATCGCAAGTCACCATTTTACACATTTTACGATAAGGATTGGTGCGTAACCGATGCATACATAAAACCAACAAAGATGGGCTAGCGTCCTTTCATACTGCATATTCCATACAGTAGATGAGGCGAAATTTCAAATTTGTCTTCAAATTTTTCGCTGTGAGATTAAAGATCTGATAGGATCGCTTTTAAGTAGAGAACAAGAGATCATTTTAGCGGAATCGTTCCTTTAACAAGACTCCTTCATAGCTCAATTTGTACTGGAGAGACGTTCAGCTTATTAAGTTGACTGTATGAGCTTCCATTTTTTAATATGATCAAAGGAGTTCCCCTCATTGACGGGAATGAAGCGTCGCTGATCGTGCTTTAGAGAAGA